GATTTTATACCATATTTAATTTTGTAAGTTGTTTCATGTGTGTGTGTGTGTGTGTGTGTGTGTGTGTGTGTGTGTGTGAGTCCTATGCCTAGGTTTACGCGGCTGTGTTGAAAACTTCACCTCAGCTCTTCTCTGCTCTGCTAAAAGTCTGATGCCAGGAGCAGCTGCTGTGCTTTGGGCTAATATTAGCGTACATGACAACTTGACTGATTCTGTTTAGCATGTCCACCAAAATAGTTTAGCACGCTGAACACTTGTCTTTGCTGTTTGTGCCCAAACACAAAGTACAGCTGAAGCTAATGCAACACCTCCAGAGCTGAATAAGCCAGCTGCAGTTGCCCAAATGGCCACTTGAAGCTGCTTCCAGTTTACTTCCATGTCCAAATGGATAACCAGCATGAGGAAACGTGTACAGCCTGGAGCAAAGAAATTACTTTATTCCTGCTACCTTCCCTCTGCACTAACTGGAACTCTCCATCATGGTTGTGGTGTTGTTCCCTTTTGGAGCATTTTAATTGAATTATTTAACAAATACCATCAACTGCCAGTGCTTGTGTTATTTACTTAGCAGATATCTGTGTCTCTGTGTATCTTCCTAACCATGCCTGTTTAAAACTCTTCCATTATTATTATTATTATTATTATTATTATTGCCAGCACTTGTATTTAGTTACTTTCTAGCTTCTTTTTCAAAAAGTAGCCAGCTGGATTTGTGGACATGTGGTGAACATTTTTAAAATCAGACAATATCCTTGGAGATGGAAACTCTCTGAACTGGGTTGTTGGTTTTGTCACATGCTTGTGGAAACACCATCACCCAGTTTATCATGCAGTCACCGTCACCAAACGATTATCTGTAGAGAGATTGTTTTAAAAGAAAAAGAAAAACACCACGATACAACCCCATGATAGATCCGGCAGCTTACCCGCAGTGGTACCTGCCGCCATGGTGGCAGCCACAGGCGACTGGCGCTTACTCACTTTGGACATAAATTTGAATAGAATACCATCTCGTGCCATGGCAAAGAGAATGCGTGGTAGAGGGAACATGGAGCCCAATAGGCTAGGGAGAAGAGGGTTGATGGTTAAGTTGAGGGCTTTCTGGGAAAGAAAACATGACACCTGCACAACTGTGAAAGAACAACAGGTGTATACAGACGTATGACAAGGTCCTTACACGCTAGATAATTAATATCAGAAAGCGTAATGGCCCAATTTGATTCAGAACCAACATTGACTGCGCTGTGTCTTTCACAGTTGATCGGTGAGGAGAAAGATTAGCTTAGAGTGATCCCACTTGGATTCTCCCTGGCTCTCACCTGCAACTACACCGGAGCTCATAGTGGCAATAAGTGGGGTCTTCGTCTTAGGATTGATTCGGGCTAAGGCTTTGAAAAGCACCCCATCCTCTGCCATAGCATAGATTACACGAGGCATAGGGAAAATGGAGCCCAGCAGACTGCATGAGATAGCAGAGACATGCAAGACCAACACATTAGTCAAAAGCCCCAAACCAGGACAGTAAATCACACACACATAGGGCTGAAACACACACTGAACGTCTTTCTTTCCTGAAGGTAATATCATCATTTTTTCAAGTTTAGCAGCAGTGTGCAATCCCATTATGTTTTAAAAGGGATTGCACTTTTCTTGCATAAGGATAAAAATGCCAGTCAGTACAATAACAGCATATATAAATTACAGGCACTGGCAAAAATACAAAATGTAATTGCTTTGAGTCCAATCAGATAATCTTCACCTGAATGTGACCATGAGATGGATTGACAAGGTTTCTTGATAGTAAACCGATTTATAGACCCTCCGGGAAGAAAGACAGAATAGAAACTGCACCATTAGATACTTTGGAGACACTCTCCAACTTTCTCATTAAATGAAGAGGCTTTAAATGTCAGAATGACATCACAGAGTCATGCAGGTGTCTCAAAACAGACACAATTACATATTGCACCCGCCACACCCCAGATTAGAAGGAAGAATCAATCCATTAACAAGACACACCTGGAGATATGTGGTCAAAACTTTCAACCAAATCTCAGCCCCATTTATCCGTCCACAGCGATCACAAATGTAGCATTACATCTAAAGGTTTTCTGTAGCAACACGTGTTCGTTTTCTAATGCATGCAGCTTGATTTGTTAAAACAAATCCAGCGGTTACCTTGTGGATAGGGCGCATAGTGAACCCACAGCCACCACATACTTCGCAGGGCCCCAACCCACATATTCAAATGCCATAGGCAGGGGACTTTTTTCGTCCAGTAGGTAGTAGGGCATCATCAGCGTGAGGGCAGCTGACACGCCAAAGTATGCCAAGAAGCACACGGTCAGTGACACCACGATGCCAGTGGGAATGGCCCTCTGAGGGTTTTTGACCTCCTCACCTATCAGACACAGACGCATGAAAACATGAAGCTCTGCTTTCGTAAAACTCACATGAAAACTCAACCCGACCGTGACTCACCTGTTGTTGCAATGCAGTCAAAGCCAACAAAAGCATAAAAGCAGGTGGCAGCTCCTGCTAAGGTCCCACTGAAACCATAGGGCATGAATCCTCCAACGCCATAATCGCTGCTCACATTGGCTGTCACGGACAGGTTCCTGTAACATGTACACTCGTGACTGGAAGCAATGCTGCTTACAATGCTCTGCACGTTGTTTCATATTAACTGATGTATTAAAGGGTAGGCGTCTTTGCCCCGTCTAGGATTGCCTTTGCAAATAAATCAATTACCTTGTAGCTATGGTGACATTTATAAGGGAGTCTTCGGTTATCTTCCAGTTGTATGCGTCTCCTTTGACAAAGCCAGAGATGATAACGAACAAGAGCACGAGCACATTGATCGATGTGAAGACTTTATTGACCCAGGCTGACTCCTTCACTCCAAAGGACAGAAGTCCTGAATGTGTAGATAAAAAACAGAGCTCAGATGCTTGCTGTAGAATATTTAAAATGCCTGCACAACTCTATCTCTGTCTCTCAATCTAACCCTGCAAGGATCCAAGTCTAGCTGTCACTGATTGCAAATTGTCACAATTGAGCCAACTGATTACAAAAAAAGTTACCTGCTTTGTTTAGCATGCTATATTAGCATCCTGGGTAAAAGGTTATGTCTGTACTGGTTTCTGTCGTGAAGGAGGATTATCAAACTTATCACAGCTTTTCCTCAGGACTACATGGATATCTGTACAAATCCTCAAATGAAACTAACAGCAGTGCATGCAACAAATGCAGAGAATGAAGGCAGAAAATTATTTGCTGTGTTTTAGGACACGACCCGACTCAGATTTTGTTATGGATTATCTTATATTTGCATAGCTAGTGTATCTGCCATCCTCACAAAAACAACCAAACACTGGTGGACTGTTACTGAGTCCCACTGACTTAATGTAATCATCGTATTGGCAGGCCGAGAGCAAAAACCATGATTAAATTGTTTGAGGGTTAAAGGGTTGAACGTAACAAAAACTAGTGCAACTGTGCAAAATTCTCCAAATTACTGTATGTGAGCAAGACACAACTTATGCTTAGACTTAAGTGATCAAAATCTGTAGGAGCTGCAAAAATAGAGTGCATGTGTGCACCTAACAGACTCACACAGCCCTCTGGGATCCCTCGCCCTCTTTAACACCAGAGTCCCCTGCTTTCCTGTTTTAGATTATGTTATATTATGTCAGCCGTGGCTCATAAGCTTGTTTTTGCTCAAGATGCAGCCAATTCTAAATTTCATTTATTCGCTGCAGCCTGTGTGTCAACGGTTTGACATGAATCTTGTGATTTTCAGCTTTTGTTTTGCTGCCTTACCAGAGAGCAGCAGAATCAGGCAGACCGCAAAGAAGTCAGGGTACTGGGCCAAACCGGGAGAATTCATGCTGAAGTGGGTTTTACAGAATATCTCTATGTGTCCTCCTATCATTTCATCGAATGTGCCGCTCCATGCTCTGGCAACTGAGGAGGTGCCTGTGAGGAAACAAAGAAAATTGGGGAGCCGGTGTCTTCTTTACATAAAAACAAATTTGAGCATTGCCCCTAACTCACCGATCACATAAGAAAGGATTAGATTCCAACCAGTGATGAAGGCCCAAATCTCGCCTACAGTGACATAGCTGTAAAGGTAAGCGGAGCCGGTCTTAGGGACTCGGGCGCCAAACTCGGCATAGCACAGGCCGGCCATGACAGAGGCCATGGCGGCGATTAGGAAGGAGATGACGATGCTGGGACCGGAGTCTCCCTTGGCCACCTCTCCAGCCAGTACGTACACACCAGCCCCCAGAGTGCTGCCCACTCCCAGAGCAATAAGGTCAAGGGTTCCCAAGCAGCGGCAGAGCTTGGAGTCTTCCAGGCTGTTTAGGTCGACCACTTTCCTTCGCACCAAGGAGCGGCTGAATGACAGAACCTGCTTCAGCATGTTGACACCTGAAATCAGAGAGCAAAGAAAAATGTTAAATAAACCAGTCTGCTCACATGTTGTGGGGCATGAGTTGATGATTTAATAGTTTTAATATTAATACTTGAGGCCAACCTGTCAAAATCACAGTGCAACCAAGAGAAAGAAAATCACGTCTTAAAAATTCCCTACAGGGCTCCAGAACTGCGAAACCAAACGGGCAGTGTGCAAGTGCAGTCTGAGTTAGCTGCACCTGCTCTGCAGTTTGAACTTACAGCTTGTTCTCTGCTGACAAATCACAGGTTGCACAACCTGTGAGATTAACCAAAAGGTGGGGGGTCGAAAGAAACGTTAACCCTGCAAACTATGAATTCTAGGAATGCTGCCAAATGCTGTTGCTGGCAAAAGGTCCATACAGTAAAGACTCCTATCAGAATGCATTGTTCAGGATTATTGTGCAGCTCTAACTACTCAAAGAGCTGCATTCATGAAAGACATTCCTGCAGCCTTCTGTACTAATTGCATATAAAGGACATTAAAAGACTGTACAGCCTCCTTTGTGTTCATTCAAATGTCTCTTGTTCCATTTATGAGATCGATGGGGAAGCTGTCTAAAAATATTTGCATGAATACAATATGTTAAATAGGCATGAATACTCCCGCTCCATCATGAATTCCTGCTCATTCTCTTTGGCGTTAGAACTCGTTCTTCAAACTTAAACTTTGATCATCGTGACCATAAAATAGCAATGACAACCGTCCAAATCTACATTGATGTCTTTTGCAATGCAGATTTGTATTTGTTTCTATTTAATATCAGGAGATATTAATTTTCAATGTGATGGCTCATTAATATTACAATGAGGGCTGCATCACAGAATCTCCATAAATACAGTGGATGGAAAGTGAAGATAGCAGAGAGCAAAATAAGATTTTGGCAAGTAAAAGTCCAGCTTTGCTTAAAGTATAGTGAAGTAGAAGTTGTAGTTTGCTGGGAAAGACGTCGTGTGTGTTTTTAGATTGTGCCATGACTGCATGCAACATGTGGTACGGATCTTAAAGTGAGGCTCACCAGAGTCCTCACAGCGAAACTGCTAGTTTGCAAAAACAAAAAACGTTCAAAGGTTTGAACACGTTTCTACTTCATTAGACATGCGGACCTACCTTAGAACAGATGAGTAGGAAACTGAGGGGTTCACGCTGAGACACAGAACCAAAATTAGCTGCTAGAAGTCTCAGTTATTTTCTTCTGCCTTGCTTCTGCCGAGAACCTTGAGAGATCAGCTGCACAGTGAAGCTCAGGTAAAAGTGAGACTACACCTACAGATCTGCGCTGGAGCCTCAAATCTCTCCAGTGTGCTGAGCGCTCATTCACTGTGCTGTCACATAAACTATACAGAGCAGCAGTTTTCACTCCTCCCCTCAGTGGCTCAGTGTTTCTTCATAGGATTTGCCCCTGCCTTACCCCTAAACTGACGTCCCTAAAGGAGGGACGCAAGAGGAGGAGGGGACCCAAAGGAATTAAAGTGGGGTTGGGGAATGGGTGGAAGAGAGGGGGGCACTTCCATGCTTTTGGTTTGTGGGAGTAAGATTCTGTGGAGGAACTGCACAATAAGCTCCCTTCACAAGATAACACAGAAAAAAATGAGGTTTTACAGTAATGGGGAAAGGATTTTTTATATTTTTGTCATTTCTAATACATACTCAGGCTAAAAATTCCCAGCTGTCCACATGCTTACTGACCACTGGGCAACATGATTGGGCAACTTTCTCTGATAAACACAAATACTGTTTACCCAGTGCAGCCCACAGAAGCGCTGCTAAAAGCCCTGATTGGTCAATGAAGGGTGTAGAAGTAGTGCAAATCCTCCTAATGGAAGACAGATATTGCTCAATGTACCCTGAGCCATGACCCATGACTACAAAATCAATAACAGCTCGCCATGGTACGCCTCCAGAAACGCCTGGCATCTCCACAGGAGCTTCACTTATGAGCTCCAGCTCCTGGAGGGAAAAACAAAGTCCCATTTTTCCATCAAACACGACCTGCAAATTACAACTAAAGGTCGAGTTTGCAGCGGAGACTGTGTTTTATTTTTTCTGCCAGGACCAGCTCAAACCAGCTTAAAACCTCAGTGGGAAGGTGGCAGCTGGGCCCTAGAAACACGTCCAACCCACAGACCAGAGATTCGACAGCATGACAACAACAAACTCTCTCTCAGTTTGGCCATCCAGCCAAGCAGCCCAATATCATGGGCGATTGCCCACCGAGCCTGGCTGCAGGAGCGGATTAGCTGACCGGCATGCTGATGGGAAAGCAAAGTTTTCCTTAGTAGTGCGCTAACAGGAGACACAGCATTTAATGCTCATGCTCTTCACATTCATATGGACTGAAATGAGGGTTAAAGCAATTTTTCTTTTTTCTTTTTTAAACTGTGTTGTTTGGTGCTTTTAGGAATGGACGAGCTTTCCTCACATACCGTTTACACTGTAACCATGGAAAGGATGGAAAGGACCCACCGAGCTCGCTGTATTTCATTGTTGACATGTGCTAATTGTGTGAAGCCAATTGGATGCCCTGATGGCTGAGTGAACCAGCTCCAAAAACGTGAATATGGTCAACAGATTGAGTGGTGTTTGTCTTGCAGATAGCAGGACTCGTTAACACGGTCCAGTTAACACTACTGTCACCAGGAAATGTTAGAGTGAACAATTATTGATAAGCCAGGCTGCAATGACAGAGATGCCCAGATTTAAACATAAATGTCTGGGACAGGAGGACACATTTATGTGAAAATGCCAAAGTTACAGGGTTGGAGGATACCACTGATAACTTCAAGTAATGAAAAACAAGACATCATTTTTTATGTCAAATAAGAAAACAGCAAAATGAGCAAAGAAAAGTTCAGGGTGGCAAACCAGTGTGTTAAAATGCTGCTGCTGCTGTAGATCAGATATACTGAGTTGAACCAGCATCATCGTGTAGCTCACTGTAAAGTCAAAGGAGAAACTCAGGTTAGGCATTTGCTTAGAAGGCCAGAGTGGTTTAGATGCCGAATTTCATGGAATGGCGTAAAGCCTCTTTATATTGCTTTTCAAGAACAGTCTGGGGACTCGAGCCCGAAGACATTACCTGTTCTTAGATTGACATAATGCTGTTTTTATGAGCTACAAAGACCACTGCTGAAGGAAAAGTCACTCGGAGCTCTACTGAAAGTGATTTCCTGTCTGTATCTGGGTCACTGTGCAGTGTAGACGGTTGTTTTAATGGGTCACACTCCTGCAGAAAATGTCAAAAATCACAAACGTCCACGCATTAAGTGTTGAATGTGGGTCATGATACAAGGACTCAAGCCATCAGATATTTCTTGCAGCATATTTGGAAATCGCAGCAGATTCTTTTAAGCGTGATCAGCACTTTTCAAGTATCATGTTTGAGACCCTCGAGTGACAATGACTTCCAAAAAAGTGTACCCACAAAGCTGGATGGTCTTCATAGGGAATTTCGCAACATTAAATACATATTGGGTGTTTGGCAATTACTACCACTGGACACACATCGATAATAAAACACATAACTTGTTGGATTCTTTTCATTATATGTGCTGGCTCGTCTCTGCTGAAGTGTGACATTAAAAATGAACTTTTTTCTTTATACTAATTTCACAATAAAGTTTTGTTGGTTTTTTTTGTTTTCAGGGAGAATTTCTCATGCATGAACGCATCAGGAGTCACTAAGTCACAAATCCCTCCTAGTTAATTTTACTGCTTTTATTCTATTTTCTTTTCTGGTTATTGCCCGGCAACAGATGGGCGCTGCTTCTCACTGGTGTACGCTGGGCTGCAGATGATAAAAATACAGAAATGCTTGAGTTTGGGTTTGAGTTGCCAAAACTATAAAGATGTCTGCAGAGCTTGATAAAGTGAAATGGGAGTGGAGGCTCATATAGCGTCCAGTTTCAAATCATGTGGGGCCCATCTGTATTTGTACTCATAATAGCTTTAACATTAACTAGCAATCTGTGCATATTCAACATATCCTGTCTTCTAATCATCCTTATTTTGGACAAATTACATCAGCTTTTGTTTTGATTTCAGGCCGGTGTCAAGAAAATTACAGTGATGTTTGAACAAAGAGAGAGGACAGAATTTAGTGCACAATATTTCCAAATCAAGTATCTATTGTCTCTGTGTAGTAATTAAAACATCTTCATAATGTAGAACAAAGGTAAAAAAGAAACTTGCATATCAGAGCTATTGATAACTAGTCATGATGATTAGAGTATCTAATAAACCTACAAATATCAAAGCCCCAGGATGTAACTGTGCCTAATTAGACATGTTCTCCTCAGTTCCTCTCTGCCCTGGTCCTTTTTGTTATCGCAATACTTTGACATTTATTTTTCCAACCTCGTGCAAAGATTTCACACATAATACCAGCTGGCTCACTGGAACTGGTTCACATCAGTGGAATGCAGTCTTGACATGCCAAAGTGTCTGTGGCAACAGAGCTTCACATATACTTCAGTAGGTCTAATCCACCAGAATCACTTAAAACACTCGACAAACAAGAGAAATTCAAACCAGTTTAAGCAGTGCGTGGTCTGTCCACACCAGCAAACTGACTGGATCAACTGGACAGGCCGAGTGTAAATCCTCTCTTAAATTCATGACAACCAATTTACAACATAAACGATCAATCCAATCAAAATGTGCACATTTTCCTTTTAAATAAACTGAAACTGGTAAATGTCATTTCCTTGACCTTTAGTTATTGTTCCCTTAAAGTTCCCAGAAAATGACAGTTACAAACCTTTAAAAATGCAGGATCTGTCATGGTCCTGGGCCATGTTGGCCCAGCATTCTTAGTTTTCTTGTATTTTTGTATTTTGTTCCGTATGCCGTGGTTCCTAGGTTCTGTTAAAAATGTTCCTTATTTGATTACCCCCTGTGTGCCCCTCTGTGTATCTGTGAACCCTCGTTTCCCCTCATGTTTCATTTAATGTTTTCCCCAGCCCGTTATGTCTGTGCTCTCTCTCCTCCTGTCTGAACCTCTGTGTGCTTCCTGTTTTACTTTGACAGTCTCTCGTCAGTATGCGTCATGTTGCGTTTACTCCCGCCCTGTCTCGTTATGATTATCTGTGTCAGCTGTGTTCCCCGTGTGCTCCCACTTCCCTCGTTAACCCTCTGTGTATTTATGTGCAGGTCTCCCTCAGTTCAGTGTTGCGTCGTCAATGTCTCCTCCCTGAACCTGTGTGTCTTTCTGTGTTCCCTCGGTCTTCTGTTAGCATTCCCAGTTTAGTTCTCTTTCTTTGTGAAGCCTGCAATAAAGCAGTGATTTTGAGTTCAGCTTTTTGTCTCCGTGAGTTTTGCGTTTGGGTCCTCTTCTGCCTCCACACAGCCAGTTCATGACAGTATCATTTTCTGAGGAGTATTTTTGCAAAATCTTTTTTTTTATTCCTGCAGGGAACATTTCCTAAACATTTCCTGAGAATGTTGCTTAAAGGTTCTCTAAAGTTAAATATCCTTCAGAGAAAATTGCTATATAGTTCTAACAAGTGTTACAAGAACTGTCACCTTCAGGAAACATTAAGAAAAATGAGTTTTTCACATGTGAGGGGATGTTTAGGGAGTCTTCATGAACTGTACATAAAAGATGGACACACTTACAGCGATATCATCTATTAGTTTTGAACTGTGTTCTTTGAAGCCTCAACATTAACATTCTGGGTGCAGCCATGTTGCATTTTTGAAGCCAGAAGGTGAAATGCAAAAGCTTGATTTAGGCTTTTGCAGGAAATCTGTGTTCTAATTTATGTAGTAACCATGAACTCTGTTTATCCCTACGCCGCAAACTTCCACAACATTCAAGTCGTAAAGTATGTATCGACCCAAAGTGTAGTTAAATTCCTGACAGGTACACATCATGTTACATAAAGGTTGCGGCATTGAGTTAAAATCATTTCCAGTTATGGCGTAAGTTATGATTACGTAGATGTATAATTCACTTGTTAGGCTAGCAAGCTTGGTTAGCAAGCAGCATCTATAAACTGCACCAGTGTACCTCACAGACATGTATACTTTGTATTTAGTGATAAATGGTGGTTTTCACCACACATAAATACATATCTGTCAGATAATTCCAGTAAAAATGCTCCAAAAGGGCCTAACGGCACAAACTGGTGTGGAGTTTAGTGACTCTGATTAGTGGAGATGAGGCCTATCAGTCAGCTACTGGCTACAACTGACTCTGCGCAGAGACCTGCCGATCAGAGTGGCCATGTGAGCATGTTTTCAATGGATGAAAATTGGGCATTATAACATGGGTTTGTGGAAATTGACTTTCATTTTGAACTACACACCAAGTGGTCATTAGAGGAACTGCAGTTTGTGACACTTCTGTGTTGGCTGCATTTTTGTTCCCCCTGTTGGCCATTTAGGAGAATTTTTATT